AACAAAACTCTCTCTCTCTCTCTCTCTCTCTCTCTCTCTCTCTCTCTCTCTCTCTCTCTCTCTCTCTCTCTCTCTCTCGCGCGCGCGCGCGCACGCGCGCGCGTGTTAGCTTAGTCTCATTGATTTGGCTACTTTAGGGTTGCGTTCCCCGCGCCCACGCGGTAGACAATTTCCTTGTGCCTGACCTCCCTGTTTTGAAAAGACGGGGCGCAATGCCTGGGCCTGAGGGCCTTTTTGCAGTTCACATGCCCGCACTTCTTTTTGGGGTCCGCTTCTACCCGGGGACCGGTGCAATGCCGCTCACTTATTTTTGGGGTCCACTTCCACCCGAGGACCGGTCCTTCCTTTTTCTAAAAGTCCCGGTTCTAGAAGAGCTAGCTGTAGGTAGTCCGCAATTTTGCCAAGGATCGGTCCCCAAAAAACATTTGTCCCCTAAGAACCCACTTTGCGTCTTGGTCGTCCGCCACCGAAAATGTGACACCTTGACACAGACGCGGAAGCACACTATACCGCAGCTTAAGAGCTGCGAATATGGAGCGCACTTGCAGAGCGCCTAGAACTATTAGGTTGCCCTGCCTTTAAAATTTTAACGACCGTGGGATTTGCAAAGAAGGCGGGGGGGGTCTACGTGATGGATCTCCTTTGGAAGTGGGGTTGCATCGCTGCAATAACCCATTTAGTGTCATGTTACGCTGTCAAGGGCATCAACCCATGAGCACAAAGAAAATTTGAGAGCCCTCCCGGCTGTATCAAACAGGAATGTTTTGTTGATGGTGCTTTCGAATGGACTATAATAGCGATGCCACTTTGGCCAAGTACATCAATTGTCTCCCACGTGAGCATGGGGAACGCAACCCTAAGGTAGCCAAAGCAATGAGGCTAGGAGCGCACACGAGAGAGAGAGAGAGAGAGGAAAAAAAAAAAAAAAGTTTCATTTATTGATACGGGTGAGGAAAAAAAAAAAAAAAAAATAGAGAGAGAGGGAAGGGGGGGGGCTACCAAAGAGAGAGAGAGAGTTCTGTTTCATTTATTGATATGAGTGAGAGAAGGAGACAGAGAGTGAGAAA